AGCCAGTACTCCTAACCCCTGAGCCATCTCTCCAGCTCAAGGATGCTTGCTTTACTATTCCTTTACACCCAGATTCACATGCCCCCTTTGTCTTCACCTGGAGAGAACCCTACCATTGGAACAGTAAGTATCTCTCTCAGCTTACTTGGACTGTCCTTCCCCGAGGGTTCCAAGATACACCTCCCCTCCCCCATTTCTTCAGCCAGGTTGGCCACTTACCTCCTTTCTCTTGACCCGTCTCCCAGATACTTACTCTCAGCTTCTTAACTTTCTAGGAAGCAAGCCATACAGAGTCTTCTGTTCCAAACCTCAGTTTCCTGTTCTTCCTATCGGGTATCTAGGCTTTCTCTTGTCCCCAAACAGCCATGAACTCACTCGCAGTCACAGCGTATCTGCTGATCTGCGGTCCCTCACACCTCCATCCAGCAAGGAAGAGATTTTCTTCTTGGCTTGGCAGGGCACATCAGAACCTGAATTCCCTACTTTCCTTGCACCCTCTATGAAGCAGCTAAGGGCTCCCCAACTGAGCCTCTGGATCTTTTGTTTTGTTTTGCAGGACAGGGTTTCTCTGTGTGGTCCTGGCTATCCTGGGACTCTTTCTGTAGACCAAGCTGACCTCAAACTCATGGAGATCCTCCTGAGTTTGGCTCAGAACTCTGCCTCCAGAGTTCTGGGATTAAAGGCTTGCACCACTGCTCCATCTTAGCCTCTATCACCAAGCCTGCCATGCCTGCTTTTTCTCCCACCTCTGAGAGGCACTTATATAGGCCCCCTGTGCTGGCTCCCCCAGACACAGAACAACCCTTTCTCCTATATACTACTGAAAAGGGGCAGTGGTTCTGAGGGATTTGGAGCAGATGAGAAGACCTACCTTTGCCCCTGTTGCCTATTTTTCCAAACAGCTAGATGCACCAGCTAGCGGGTGCCAACCTTACCTACACAGGCGCCAGCAGCTGCCTTCATATTGCCCCAGGAGGACTCCAAGCTCACCTTTGGTCACCCTCTCTTCATCCTCTTACCACCCCGGCTCAAGGACTTCCTGTCACACAAGAGCCTCTCTACTTTGTCTCCTTCTAAGTTTCATCTTTTTCTTATCACCCTCCTAGAAAATGCTCTCACTTGATTCCTGCCCTCCTCTAAACCCTGCTCCACACTTTCCAAGGTCACCACCCTAACCTGCTCCTTCCAAGAACCACCTGAAACCCTTTACCTACAAAAACTCACTACTTCCTATTTCCCCTCTGTGGTGTCCTGACTACACTTGGTTGATAGATGGAAGCTCATTTGTCATCTCCGCTGACTTCTGCCAAGTAGGCCATGCCATAGTCTCTCCTGACCAGGTTATAGAATTTGCCCTTTACCACCAGGCCTCTACTAATTGTTGCTTTGGGAAATGCTTTCCCTAATAGGACTGCTAAAGAGACCAGCCATCACCCCTACCCACTCTCCTCTATTCTCCCGGCTTCTCCATGCTTAACCCCTGCCCACTCCGAATTCCAATGACAGGCCATCTGGTCATTGGACAATTCAGCAGCCCTGAATTCTGGCTACTAAAGCTTTTGGTAATGAAAGACCCCCAGACCCCTAAGGGCCAGAAACCAGACCAAGAGCTGCAAAAGCAAGAGGGTTTATTAAACAAATGCACATTCGGGTGTCAGCAATATCGGGGAAGCTGCACACCCCAGCATGGGGTGCAAGCTCCTTACATATGAAAAAAACCGCAGATCAGCATACAGGCAAGGGGCACAAAGTGATTGATTACAAAGTATGATCTCATGTTAGAGTGGTCACCCAGGAGTGACCTGCTTTTCTACAAAGGAAAAACCACAGAACGTACCTTGAAAAGTCCTTGATTGTCTGTTGGCCAGCCAGGTGTGACCCAAAGAGGGTTGCCTTGGCAATTGCCCCCGTCTAAACCATAGGATGTGCCCGGGGTTGGAGCCAACTTCCTTGTAATGGGCCGAGGCCCGTGGGAAACTTTTCTCTCTGTGAACTAAAATCTTTCAAAACTTTTTCTCTCAGCAAACTAAAATCTTTCAGTAACAGTTCTATGTCCTGGCTGAAGCATATTCATGATTCTGCCCCAGAAGCATTCTTTGGGTCCTCAAGTCCTTCTTCCCCTTTCTTGTCTTTCTTGCCAGGAAATTTTTGTCTTATCACAGATGACTGATCGCGTTTCTATCATGTGGATAAACCTTTCAGGCTTTATTAGCTATCGGTCAAAGACATGATTCTGCTCATGCTGTTTACAGACACTTATTAACTGCTTTCTCTACAATGAGGATTTCAGGGCAGAAATTTCATGCATACTCTCAAGATAAAGTCTCCTTAAGCTCCTTAATGTTATTTTCTGCCCCTGGTCTATATCTGCCCCAGAAGACTTCCACTCAGCTGACAGACACCATTCAGGAACTAATGGCAGCCCTGCAACTACTCCAAAACCAGCTTGCTTCTCTGGCCTTGGTGGTCCTGCAAAACCATCAAGCCCTTAGGTTGATGGAGTTTTCTTTGGGCTTCCAGCTCTCTCTCTCTCTCTCTCTCTCTCTCTCTCTCTCTCTCTCACACACACACACACACACACACACAAATGACACAGATATTTATTACTAACTATGAAAACTTGACCTATAGCTTAGGCTTGTCTCACTAGCTCGTGTAACTTAAATAACCCATGTATATTAGTCTATGTTTTATCTCATGGCTTTTTACCTCTTGCACCTGCTGCTTGCTCTCTGACATCTCTCCTGTGCCCAGATTCATCACCTCTAATCTCTCTCTCTCTCTCTCTCTCTCTCTCTCTCTCTCTCTCTCCTCTCTCTCTGCCCAGAAGTCCTGCCTAACCTCTTCCTGCCTGGCTACTGGCCATTCAGCTCTTTATTAAACCAATCAGAAGGGACCTTGGCAAAGACACATCTTCGCAGTGTACAAACCGATTATTCCACAATATTTTACCCTAAATAAAAAGAAAAGTTTTTAACTCTAACCCAGTAAAACTATATAGAATAAAAACAAATTATCAGGTATTGTCTAAATGGAAAGGAAAGGCATTACTTTAACAGATGAAACTGTATACAATAAGGATAATTATCTGCACACCAGAAGAGGGCACCAGATCTCATAACGAATGGTTGTGAGCAACCATGTGGTTGCTGGGAACTGAACTCAGGACCTCTGGAAGAGCAGCCAGTGCTCTTAACCTCTGAGCCATCTCTCCAGCCCTCTTTTTTTTTTTTTTTAAGGAAGACATTTATTTGGGTGGCTTACAATGTCATAGGTTTAGTCCACTATTACGGTGGGATATGGCAGCATGCAGGCAGACATGGTGCTAGAGAAGGAGCTGAGAGTTCTACATCTCTATCTGCAGGCAATAGGAAGTGAACTATGTATGACACTAAGGGTAGCTTGAGCACAGGAGACCTCAAAGCCCGCCCCCATAGTGACACATTCCCTCCAACAAGGTCACAACTACACCAACAAAGCCACACTTCATAATAGTGCCACTCCCTTTGGGAGACATTTTCTTTCAAACCACCACATTCCACTCCCTGGCCCCCAAAGGTTTGTAGCTGTGTAATAATACAAAATGCATCCAGTCCAACTTCAAAAGTCCCCATAGGCTGTAACAGTTTCAAATCTATTTAAAAGTCTAAAGTTCAAAATCTCTTCTAAGATTCATGCAATCTCTTAACTGGAATCTCCTGTAAAACCAAAATCAAAAAGCAGATCATGTATTTCCAACATATAATGGCACAGGACATATATTACCATTTTAAAACATATGGAAGGAATCATAGTAAGGAAATACTGGACCAAAGCAAAAACAAAACCAGCTAGGCAAACTCCAAACTCTGTATCTCCATGTCAGATGTCAAAACACTCTTCAGATCTTCAACTCCTTTCAGTTTTGTTAACTACACCATACTTCTTTCTCTTGGTCTGGTTCCACTCCCTGTTAGCAGCTCTCGTTGGCAGGTATTCCATGACTCTGGCATCTCCAAATCTTGGGGTCTTCAAGGCAATCCAGGCTTCACTTCACAGCTTCATGAAATGGCATCTCTAGGCCTCCATTCAGGGACACACCTGACACACGCCTGGCCTCAGTGGCTTTCTTTAGTTGTGGAGGCAAATTCCATAACCCCTTTCTTCTGTCTTTGACTCTAAATCCAGAACCTTGCAGCCGAAGCTGCCAAGTTCTGGTGCTTTCTGGTGCTGGAACATGGCCCCTGGTTCAATTGCATCTTCACCAGCTTTCTGTTTTCCATGTTCACTACCTAAGCTTGACTTTCCAGAAACTCCCTATCCTCTCTTTATGAGTCCAGAGTTTTGTAACTAATTTATTTCTATGACTAAGGAAAGTTGTAACTATAACTATCTAGTCTTCAACCCCATCAAAGACCTAAGAGAGATATAATGTTACCTGAATAAATAGGAAGTGCAGAGCAAGCAAAACTATAAGAAATGACAGAAATAGCTGGCTGCCTAGATAGTCACCCAAGGTTTCTCTGCAACACTGGGGCATCCATCTTTGGCCTATGAGCCTAAAATATCTGACAGACTTTTTTATGAAGCAGGAATTTTGAAGGACTGTACTAACTTGTTTTGGCAAAATTTGGCAGTTGCCTTCTTTTGTGTCCTGCTTGTCCAATTTGGACAGAATTCTGTCAGCAGTTGAGGCAAGGACACTTTCTTTGCTCAGTAGCTAATTTTTGCTACAAATGAAAGCAAACTCCATATGGAGGTTCTTCAATGCCCATCATCCTCTTTTGAAGTAAATTGGTGCTGCCAGGAATAGGCATGTTCCACTGCCAAGAAAAGCCTTATGCTATTAAAAACATTGCCTTATTGCAAACAGCAAGAGGCTTTATTATTCAGTAACTGGTGGAGCAGTGCTTCAAGGCCCAGCATGTTACTTACACAGGAGCTGAGGAGCTGGACCCCGAGCTGAGGGCTAGGGGCTTCTTATCTTTTTTTTTTTTTTTTTTTTTTTTTTTTTTGTTTACACTCATTTTCTTTTCTTTCTTCAGCATCTAAGCACATTTTTAAACATACTCTTCCTTTTTAGAGGTTTTCTGTGTCTGGACCTGGCAGTAGTAAGCCTCTGCAGAGTTTTCTAACCACGTGAGACAAATCTTAAACCACTGTGTCAGCCGCTGTGCGGCTCAGCTTAGTGCATGATGATGGCACATGGTGCTAGCAGCTGGCTCTAATCCACAGGCAGCAGCCGGGAGGATGCGTCTCTTTCTACTACAGAGCACCAGCCTGCCTGAGAGACTGCCAGACCAGGAACCCATGTTCAGCTCATTGTCCAGAACTTTTCTTAGCTTCCACAACACCCTTATGTTGAAAGCCAATGTGAACCAGTTCAGTCAGGTAAATGAGAGGATTAGAGAAAGACTTACACAAGGGCTGAAGAGATGGCTGAAGAGGTTAAGAGCACTGGCAGCTCTTCCAGAGGTTGCTTAACAACCATCTGTAATGAGATCTGGTGCCCTCTTCTGGCCTGCAGGGATACAAGCAGACAGGACACTGTATACATGATCAATAAATAAACCTTAAAAAAAAAAAAAAAAAAAAAGACTTACACAAGCTGGCTCACACACTACAGCTTCCAAGGACTTACTCCTCTGCTGGGCTCTCTGTCTGGTCTCTCTTAGGCACCTGGTTTCTACCCATCTCAGCCCACTGGTTTCGTTTTTGTTTGTTTTTTTGAGACAGGATTTCTCTGTGTAACCACCATGGCTGTTCTGGAACACAAGCTCTGTAGACCAGGTTGACCTCAAATTCACAGAGATCCTCCTGCCTCTACCTTCTGAGTGCTGGGACTAAAGGTGTGCGCCACCAACGCCCGGCAGCCTACTGGTTTCTATCTTCTCATAATAATGATTGCCCTTGTCTCTTCAGGTTCCTTCAGGAGAAAATTAGTGAAATAACCCAATGGTCAGTGAACCAGATACTTCTGATGGAGTTTCTTTGGGTCTCCTACCATCACCTGCCAGCTTGAATCCCTTTTATAAACCTGCATTCTAGACTCCCCTCCCCCTTTCTCAACTCCCAATATGCAGGAAGTAGCCAGAGGACTATCCTTGTCCTTATCAACAACAAGAGGCTGGAATGTTAGCTTTAAAGCATCACACCAAAATGGCAATGCTTGTGATGTTGTCTGAAACAAGACTTGGCCAACTACATGAGAGGGTTGTTACTGGGTAAAGCATTCCGATCTCATAAGGCAGGCATCTGTTTACCAGGAACCTGGCTTAGTCCACCTTCAGAGTCAACTACCACAGGCTAGCCCATCTCCTACCACAGGCTAACACATCTCCTGGTCAATCCAAACAGCCTGTGTCAGCACAAAGGTTCCCAACCCTATCGACTATCACATAAAATCTTGCTTTTCTGCCATTTTGCTCTTCTCTTGTATCTGTGTCCCCCTCTCCCTATGGCTTTGGCAGTTTGATCCCTGATAAACCTCTCTTTCTACCTATAGATCAGTCTATTTTGTGGTTTTTGTAAGAGCCCTGACTTACAAAAGTCATTTCTCATTCATAAGGAGCACTTCTTTTGCAAAAATCTCCCAGACTTTTACTATGTCCTGGTACATTTGACTATAGGGTGGGTACCAGGTGACCTTGCAGTCTGTGTGGTCCATCACAAGCCAAGTGTGTTTGGCCCCAACCCTCAGCAGTTCTCATCTTTATAGAGTGTGGGCCAAACAGTCCTGAAGGAACAAGAAGCAAATTGTTCACATTTTCAGTGTGTCCACTTCTGCACACTGTTGGCAATGACTTTGACTCAGGTAAAAGTGAAGGGAAAATGTTGAATTGTTTAAAGTGTGACTTGTGGGGCTGGAGAGATGGCTCAGAGGTTAAGAGCACCGACTGCTCTTCCAGAGGTCCCGAGTTCAGTTCCCAGCAACCACATGGTGGCTCACAACCATCCATAGTGAGATCTGGTGCCCTCTTCTGGTGTGCAGATATACATGGAATCGGAATGTTGTATACATAATAAATAAAATCCTAAAAAAAGAAAACTGCCTTAAAAAAACTTATTTTGTTTTTTAATATCACTAATAAAAATTAAGATTAAAAAATTAAGATTAAACAAAGTGCAGTGCTCTATTTAAAATTTTTTTTCCCTAGGACACAGATCTCTCAGTAATGCAAAATTGGATCTCTCTCCTGGGCAAAAACCCTTTTCCATCTGCTGCTGGCTCAAGGCTCAAGGCGATGGACTTACCATACAGTGACAGTGATGAGGGAAAGCCCAAGCACAAGTTCAGCCTCACAGCAGGTGAGGATTTACAGCCTGCACTTGAATTTCCTTTCTCAGTGTACTTACATGTTTTAAGGAATTTTTCTTCTCTTCCTTTTCCCTTTCCACCACTACTGCTTCTAGGCTGTTGTTCCAGGGAGATGATGTCACCACGTAGAGAAAAGATCACAGGATCCTGACAGAAAATAGTGAAGATTTGGTGGAGGAATGCCAAGGCTTTGGAGTGTCTTCCTTGAGAACCCTATTAGTTTTTGCCACTGTCACAAAATCCTTGAACAATGCAAGGGAGGAAGGATTCATTTTGGTTTGTGGCTTCATATGAGGGAAAGGCATGGTGAAGTTTCTGATGTCCAGAATGTTTGGTAAGGTCTGGTGGGCTAGCCTGGTCTACATAGTGAGTTCCAGGACAGTCTGAGCTACACAGTGAGACCTTGTCTCAATAAAAATAAAAATAAAAACCTTGGAAGTTTCTTCTAAGACCTTGTTGCGTGACACTCTTCCTGAAGAGATATGAAGAAAAGTCTACTCGCCACAGATGCAGAGGCAATGAGCAAAGTACCACCAAAGTCCATCTTGGCCAACCAACAAATTTTATTAGGATTACTTACAGGATTATGGTGAGGGGCTACTTACAGGAATGACTCAAAGACAGTTGCATCACCAAAAGCCGCCCCCTCCCCCAGCATGGGTGACCTTTCATAAAAACTAGAAACCTAGAGCACACTGCACAGCCTCTCAACACAACAGAGAATGTCTTTTCCAGGTAGCTTGGTGACTGTGAGAAACTTTCAGCAGTCCTTACTGCTTATATATGACTGGAGAGGGAGGGATCTAATGAATCTGGTCAGTTTCAGGGACTTCCTGAAGTCTTTGAGTTGTTTACTTCCTGTGCTTACCAAGTTTCCCTGCAGGATGGAGCACTTTTGCTCCCTTGGGACTATCCTGTTGTTTCACTGCCCACTTAACATCCTCTGTCTTAAGGAGAGTCTTTAAGATGAAAGATTTTTAGAAATTTTTCTTTTGGTTTTACTTATTTTATGTGTATGAATGTTTTGCCTTCATGTGTGTCTATGTATGTATAACATGTGAATATCTGGTGACCACAGAGGTCAGAAGAGTGCACCAGATGCCAAAACTGGAGTTACAGATGATTGCAGGCTGTCATGGGGGTGCTGGGAACTGAGCCTGCATCCTCTATAGGGGCGGGAAGTACTCTGAACCACTGTGACATCTCTCCAGCCCCCAAAGGTGGAAGACTTTAATTTCAGGAAAATTACTACACAACACAAACTCTTAACTATTTTCTCCTGAAAAATCAAAAAATAAGTTAAGTATTCCCAAAATATAAAAGTACAGGTCAAACATTCCTCTTCCAAAAGGGACATAGTAAGGAAAGAGGGAACCGAAGCAGGAACCCCACACTCAGTGTCTATAGCATGTGACATTATTTGAGTTACAAAGGGTAGCCCTTTCAGCTAGCACCTGCAGTACACATGGTCTTTCACTTAAAAACCTGGGTATAGGCAGGGCGGTGGTGACACTTGCCTTTAATCCTAGGCAGATCACTGTGAGTTTAAAGCCTGCTTGGTCTAAAGAGTGAGTTTCAGGACAGGCTCCAAAGCAACAGAGAAACCCTGTCTCAAAAAACAAAACAAAACAAAACAAAACGAAACAAAAAGGCCAAAAAACCTGGGTATAGCAGTGTGTACCTGTTATTTCAGCACCGGGAGGTAGAGACAGGAGGATCCCTGGTCTTGTTGGCTAGCCAGTCTAGCTGAATAGCTGAGTCACAGGTTCAGTGAGAGAATCTAGCTCAAAAAAAAAAAAAAGAAAAAAATAAGGTGGAAACAAAATAAGATTAAGAGTCAACATTTACCTCTGGCTTACACGCGCGCGTGCACACACACACACACACACACACACACACACACACACATACACATACCCGCATACACACAAATACACACACATACACACACAAATAAATTAAAACCTTTTTGTCTTCTTTGGGTGTTTTGTTTTGTTGTTGCAGCATGGGGGGTGGGTGGTTCCAGACAGGGTTCCTCTGTGGCTTTGGAAGCTGTCCTGGAACTAGCTCTTGTAGACCAGGCTGGTCTCCAACTCACAGAAAGAGATCTGCCTGCCTCTGCCTCCCGAGTGCTGGGAGTAAAGGCATGCGCCGCCACCTCCCGGCTTTGGGTGTTTTTAAGACAGAGTTTCTCCATGTAGCTCTGATTGTCTAATAGATCAAATGTAATTATCACTTACTTATTTACTGGTTTTTCTAGACATGGTTTCTCTGTGTAGCCTTCGCTGTCCTGGAATTTGCTCCGTAGATAAGGCTGTCCATGAACTCACAGAGATCCACCTGCCTCTGCTTCCCAAGTGCTGGGATTAAAGGTGTGCGCCACCACCACTTGGCTTCAAATTCTGAACTTAACTGTCAGTTCTTGAAGGCTGAACAAGAAACACTCAGTTGGCTTTCTCTGTTACCTATACCAGCTTGGTATATTCACTTCGTGCTAGATTACATAATTTATTTAATTCTTCCTGCCAACTCTATACTGATGTCTCCAGAGTAGGCTTGTGCCACTGAAACTTCAGAAGGTCTAGAAGGCTTGAGTCACCTCGAGGATCATCCAAGGCCTGGCTGCCTTTCATTGAGAAAACCAGGTCTCTCCAAAATCTGGAAGTCTTCCCAGGACCACGCCCTGTTAGGGTCGGTGGAGACGCTTCATATAAATGAACCCATACCACCATCTAGTGGTGAATGCCTGCATGGACGTCTTAGGAACAGCGGAGATCCTAAGACAAGAATGCTGACCAGTGCTCACTCAGCATTGTGGTAGGCTCTGAGGACACGGCTACGAGGATGAGACAAGGCGCTGGAGAGATGAGATAGCTCAGCAGTTAAGAACACTGACTGCTCTCCCAGAGCACCTAGGTTCATTCCCAGCACCCACGTGGCAGCTTGAAACTGTCTGTAACTCCAGTTTCAAGGGACCCAACACCCATGGCAAAAATGCACAAAAAAAAAAAAAAAAAAAAAAAAAAAAAAAAGTAAGACAAGGAGAGTTAACATAGAGTTAACATATGTAACCTTCACAACAATCTCAGTTTGAATTCCATCTTAAAGACGAAGACTCGGAAGTCTGGAAAGGCACAATGTTGGAAAGTGGCTGATCTGGGATTTGAGTCCAAATTCACTTGATGCTGGAGGTGACACCAGTGAATGGCAGGAGTCCAGGACCAAGGCTCAGGAATGGACAAATGAGGAAGATCAGAGCACTCGTGGTATCTCTGTCTAGTAACCTCGAGGACTTTGTGAGCAGGCACTGTGCTAGGCTTGAGGATGAAGCTGTGAACTAAACGGGAATAAACTGATGGATAGGAAGTAGTCCTTGCCTGTTCATAGCTTATTATCTGGGACGATGGGCAGGAAAAAGCTAAGACATAACATGTGAGAGGGGCAGAAACTTGATGTTTTAAATTTTCTTTTGATTTCTTTTTACCATGTGAATGAATATATTGCATGTATTCATAAATGTGCACCACTTGTGTGCTTGTTGGATTCCCTGGAACTGGGTGTAACAGTGTTTCAGACCTCAGTAGGCTCCCAAGACTTCAACACAACTGACTCCATGGTGGAAGTGCCATTCAGGCTGTAAAACTCAGCAAGCAGACAGCACCACCCGCCAAAACTAAAACAAAGCCCTAATCCATCAAAGCCCATAGTTATGGGAAAGTCTTTAAATGTACTAACCTTGCTTTTTGTCTTCTGTAGTTCTGTTTCTGGGTAACTGTTCTTGTTAACTGAAGTATGTCAACCCAGGACATGGCTTTTCTGCTTTAAAGTTCAGCTTGAGAAAGCCTCGGTGCTACACTGGGATCCCAAACAACCAGAGCAGTCGCTGGTTGGCTAGTAAAGATTTTCTATTGGCTTAAACCCATGTCTGAGTAGTCGTCTCTGGTGAATACCACACAGTATGGGCTTATAGATGGTTGTGAGCCATCATATGGGTTCTGGGATTTGAATCCAGGTCCTTTGCAAGAGCAACACATGCTCATAACAACCGAACCACCTTTCCTGTCCCAGAAACTTGATTTTAATAGACAGCTTCAGGTTCACACCAGAAATCTAGCCTTCCCCATTTGTGTTCTTGGGAAGAGGTTCTATGTCTCTGAATATCAACTCCTTAATTTATAAGAGATTTTTTTGTTTAATAAATGACCCTGATTTGGTCACAACATCATTACATGGCAAAAAAAAAACAAAACAAAAACAAAAACAAAAAAAAACACTTTTTTTTTTTATTTTTCAAGACAGGGTTTCTCTGTGTAGCTTTGTAGACCAGGCTGGCCTTGAACTCACAGAGATCCACCTGTCTTTGCTTCCCGAGTGCTGGTACTAAGAGGCATGTGCCACCAATGCCCAACCAACTTCTTTTTTTCAGACAGGGTCTCACTATGCAGCTGTGGCTGGCCTGGAACTTGCTGTATAGGGCACACTGATCTATAACTCAGAGATCTGTCTGCCTCTTTTGTTGTTGTTGTTTTTCGAGACAGAGTTTCCCTGTGTAGCTCTGTCCTCTGACCTCCACACAGGTGCCATGATACCTATGTGCCTGTGCTAAACACAGGTTGTATGCACACACTTTTTTTGTTGTTAGTTTTTATTTGTTTGTTTGTTTTTCGAGACAGGGTTTCTCTGTGGTTTTGGAGGCTGTCCTGGAACTAGCTCTTGTAGACCAGGCTGGTCTCAAACTCACAGAGATCTTCCTGCCTCTGTCTCCTGAGTGCTGGGATTAAAGGCATGCGCCACCACCGCCCAGTTTGCCTCTGCATTCTTAGTGCTGAGATTAAAAGTATATGCCACTATGCACAAACAATTTTCTTATCCAATGGTGCATATCTATAATCTCAGAATTTGTGTGGCTCTTCCAATTAACCCAGTGGCTTGGGTCTACATAGGAGCTATGGAGGTGGTAAAAAGTGACTTAGTGATGGCTTTGTTTTGAAGACAGGATGAGATGCTTCAGGACAGACTAGGCTACACAGTTTGGAGCCAGATTCATTTTTACTTTATGTGTACGGGTGTTTTCCCTGCACGCATGTATGCATGAGCTTACATAAGTGCTTAATGCCTGCAGAGGCCAAAAGATGTTCTTAGATCTCGTAGAACTGCAGTTATAGTAGGTTGTGAGCCATCATGTGGGTACTAGGAGTAGGATCTTCTGAAAAAAAAAAAAAAAAACCAGCAGGCTTTTAACTGCTGACCCATCTCTCCAGCCCCCATGGAGCCTGACAAAATTCAGAAACAAAAGTAAACATGAAACAAAGTCTTTGGTGATGTCATACAGGTAAGATGGACGTGCAGACATGGGTAGAGCACTTGTCCGGCACATTTGAGGCCATTGGTCCCATTCCCCAGCTTTACAAATAAAATAAAATAAAAAACCCTTTGCAGACTCTCTTCGTGTCTAGAAGTCTCAGAACCTGTATGCTAACAGCCTTCGCTCGCTCACCTCCATCTCTCCCCTCTTCATTTCAGCTGCTCCAGAGTGCTCCACATCAGTCTTGTCTTTGTCCGTACTGTCCTAGCATAGATTCTTCCACCCTCAACAGCTGTTGGGTGTGTATCTCCCACCAAGCATTGTTCTAGGTGCTGGGGGCAGACAGGCAGCCAAGAGAGACAAAAGCCTGTCATCATGGAAATCACATTTCTAGACAGAAGAGGCAGGTAATTTTTTCAATATATATATATAGTATCTTCTAGGATGATTGATTTGGAGAAAAGAATAAGTCAGGGAAGAAAGATGGTGGTACTGGGAATGTGAGCTTGAGTATTTTTAGTTTGAGTGTTGTTTTGTTTGAATTTCGTGTGAACCAGTCTGGCCTCAAATTCGTAGAGATCCACCTGCCTTTGCCTCCAAGTGCTGGTATTAAAGGTGAGCGCCATACTCAGATACAAGCTTCAGTTTTCAATGGTGTGGTCAGAGCAGGTAAGAAGTTGAGGTAAGAAAATTCTAAGTGGAAATTCAAAGGCTCTTGGTCAGGAAAGCACCAGAAATTTTCAGGGAAATCAAAGTAGTCAATGTATACGGAGCAGTTCATCCAAGGAGGGCAGCAGTACAAGGTCAGACCAATCAGGTGGGGACCAGGAGACTGTGGAGCTCACAGGCTCTCTTTGTGGACTGATGTGCCTTTTGGAAGACTTTAAAGGACTGTGGGAGGAGGGTGATGGGGATCTGATTGATATTTTTATATGTAAGGTAACCTAAGTTACCATTTCTGGGCTGGGGATATAACTCACTGAGGAGTGTTTGCCTAGCACCTACAACACCCTGGATTAAATCCTCTAGTCAAACTCCACCACCACCACCACCACCACCACCACCACCACCACCACCACCAC